CCTCCCTCTCACAAGTTGGTCAAATATTTCGGCTGGCCCCATGTCTAACGGTAAGAAAATTTCTAGAAATGGGAAAAAAAATGCCCTCCAAACAAGGGCTAATATTAGTATTACTTTCAGGTGTATTTATGTAGTATTATTTTAAATATTAAAAAATTTTATTATAGTACAGAACCGAACCGAACCGAACCAAACCGAACCCGAACGGTTCCAAAATTATATTTGGAACCGACGGTTCCATTTACTAAATACTCGAAAATTTCTGGAACCGAAAAAAATCGAACCGAACAGAACCGAACTGATCCACGCCCACCCCTAATTATTGTAATCTATCATATCTTAATTATGGTCGGGTAGCGTCGAAATAAGTAAAAGGAAAATTTTGATTTCTTAAAATAAGAATTATTGTAATCTATCATATCTTAATCGTGCTTGGTGTACAATCTCTTTTACAATATTGTTGACAACATATGTCACGTGGCATGTTATCATTTGACAGTTTATCGTATCTTTATCCATTCATTATTAAAAAAAATGTGCATCTATATCAAATAAATGAGCATAAGTGAATACGAGAAAACTTGAACAAAGAATTGCTGGAAATTGGTAGATCCATATTCTCATTAAAATGTACCCTTTTATAGGTAAAGGAAAATTCTCCACGTGGGAATTACAATAGTCAATTGGAAACAATGAAAAATCTAAGTCTATTTACAACCTATCAATTATACACCTAACAACAATAAATATTAATTAAATATTTACAATTGCGAATTGTCGTATTAGATTTACCATCAATTTGGCATCATTGAAATTCAATTTTCCATTCCTTTGGCTATTAGATTCAGCCTTTGGTTCTAAAACAGAACCATCTACATGACAACATATATGCCTTTCACTTTGACAAACATACTATAATTGAAATTCCCAAGAAAAACAGTTTTTCCCGGACAATTTAACACACAAATTCTCTGTTTTTTTTTTTTTTTAATATTTTCTGACTAGACAAAGAGAAGCAAAAGAATTCTCGAGAGTTTCTTACGGACTTTGATGAGGGGATCCACTTAGAGTTTTTTTTTTTTTTCGAAACAAAGAACTCGCCGATAAATCAACTGGAAGTTGATATGCGCTTTCCCCTAATCCAGTAGCTTCTAGGGGAAAGAAGTAGGTCCATCTAAGACCGAGTCAAGTTGAGAAAGGCAAGACCTAACTTCGTTGAGCTTTTCGCTTTGCTCATTACATGTGATGTTGTCTCATTTAGTACGAGGTTAATACCATGTCAAATAAAAGAGAATAAATGAATATAAAAATTTGAAAACAGAGAATTGCTGAAAATTAGTTATCCACATTCTAATTAAAATGCACCCTTTATAGATAAAGTGAAAATTTCGTACAAGGGAATAACGATAGCCAATTGGAAATATTGAGAAATCAACTCAATTTACAACCTAACAATTGTACTTGTACCAACTACACGCCTTAATTAAATATTTACACTTAGAAGTTGTACCAAAATAAAGCAATAAGTTATATTCAATAAAATATTCCAAATCCTTTTAGAACACTTTGAAACTAGAATATTGTTATTTGCACACACTCATTACGACAAACGTCCTGTTATATGTATGTCGTGTAGGAAGATTGTTGTAGTGAGCAACTACGAATAGTATTACTCTTGAAACTAGGGAACCAGATAAACTCGTAGAAGAGGAATAAATAGATGTGGAGGAGGGAGGGGTGGTGACAAAATACAAACTCTCTTACTATGTTGTTCTCTTAGCACTCGTACAATCGCTTTCTTTCGTCTTGATTGGTTAGATTAGATTTCTAAAATGAAAGAATGCCCGATTTTTATTTTATGGACAACAAGTGCCCCTGCATTTAAAGATGATAGAAAAAAAATGACCGTTAAGTAGGACTAAACATGTCATTTAACTCTTTGTTAACAATCAATCTTTTCTTTATATGAAAAAAATAAAATAAAATAAAAAATTGATCAATTCCATCAACTACTCGCACAAACTCGTTTGAATTGGACCATGTCCAGCTACTTTAATGTCATGTATGACCACACCAATTACTAAGCACCGATGCAGCATTTAAAGATGTACTATTACTTCATTTCTTGTTTTATCACGTAAACTTCACTTATTTATGCACTATGTTACAGGTACCACCCAAATTTCAAGATTAATTTGCACGCTTTCCTTAGTTTGACTTTTCTCGAGCAAATCAAATTGATGAAATATTTTCAGGATATTCAATCAGATCATTGAAAAATAAGAATCCAAGTTATCTCGATTTTTTCGAGATTATTTCTCGTAGTATGAATATTGAACAAGTTTTTGGTTATGGAAAATTCTATTTGTACATAATATTTTATCTAATTGGTGCCATAATGGGCCCAGGTGCCCCACCCCACTCAAATAGGGGGTCGTCATTTGTCCATTATGACACCAATTATATAAAATATTATGTACCCCTAGCATAACCCGTTGGTTATTTGCGTAAGTTTTCAAAGTGCACACTATATACATGTAAATGAACACTGGAAAATTACTTAATTTTAAAGTAACTTTTTATTGCTAAACATATGTTATTTTTTTCAACTAAGAAATTACTTATTTTTTATTAATATTAAATTTGACATTACTTTCAAGATAAATAATTTATATATTTATAATTTTGACTCCTTTAAGGAAATAATTTATTTACTTATGAGTAACGCTCCATTTTCTTTTAAATTGAGGTTGAACTTGAATCTATAATCGAGAGATGGTTGTTCATACACTAATAAAAGACGCATAGATTCTCAAAAAGAGAGGAGCCGTGGTGGGTCCCCTAGAATCGTCCAAATCTCATAAGTGAATCGGAAGTTGAATCTATATTGAATCTCAAATATTGCTCTATGTGCGGGACTTCTGTTCGCAGAAGAACTCGGATTGCCCATGGGAATAGTTGGATTGAGTGTGATGCTAATTTATTTTCTGATATCATAGTAATACATAAGGAAATAGGGTATGACGCATGCCGCTTGAAGTCATCTTTAGAAATAAAGTCTCACATGCGCTACCATTGCTACAATTATTTCAATCGATTTGATCTACATTGATTATGCCATATTGGGCCCCAATTTGTTGAAATTTATTTTCCTCAAATTTGTTTTCAATCACACATTTCATCAATTGCATTAAAATTTACTAAAAAAATATTTTTTAACCAATCCAAACTGGTGATATACGTTTCTTTCTTTATCTCGTCAGATGTTCATAGCAGTTTAGTTAAATAAGAGATATCCATATTAACGTCAGATAAATTTAGTCTCTATTTGGTTTAGTTAAAAATAGATTAATAGTATATTTTAGTAAAAAATAATGTTATATAATATCAGTGGTGTTAGATCGTCAATTTAGATGTCAACATGAGATAAATCCTAATAAATAAATTATTAATTCTTATATTTAATTAAACATGAAATTTAATGATACAAGTTATGCCACCTAAATCGGTGTTAAACAACAGTGGTGATTGGTGATGAATAACATTGCTTTTTAATAGAAATTAATAAAATATATGGTTGAAAAATTGATAAAAATTATGGATATCATGAAATAAATTTCCACGCGCTTTGGATGCTTTTGCTTCTGAACCCCACTGGCAGAAGAAGGATTTATCACCTTACCAAACCCCCATACCCCTTCACAGCTTCACCGCTAACATCCAAACCAGAATGCATCCCTTTCTTCTCCGGCAGCTCCTTATACTCTTGTTACTGCCATTTAGCCGGAAAATGTATACACGCGCCGCCGTGGGCAAATGGGACCTCCTCCGACACAACATTGGCATATCTGCCATGCACATGCAACTCCTCAACAACGATAAAGTAATTATCTTCGATCGGACAGATTTTGGGCCCTCAAACATTTCATTACCCAATGGGAAGTGCAGGAACGATCCAAACGACGCCGTTTTCCAAAATGACTGCACCGCCCATTCTGTCGAATACGACGTCGCTCTGAACTCGATCCGCCCTCTCATGGTGCTCACCGACGTCTGGTGCTCCGCCGCTGCCGTCATGCCCAATGGCGTTTTGGTACAAACTGGTGGCTTCAACGATGGCGAACGTACCGTTAGAATTTATAAACCTTGTAATGATGATTCTTGTGATTGGCAGGAAATCAAAAATGGACTCGCTCAGAGAAGATGGTACGCCACTAATCATATTTTGCCGGACGGCCGGCAAATTATAATCGGCGGACGACGGCAGTTCAATTATGAATTTTATCCTAAAAAATCTTCGGCGGAGAAAGCCTATAATTTGCCGTTCCTGGTGCAGACGACTGATCCAAAAAGTGAAAACAATTTGTATCCATTTGCGTTTCTCAATGTGGATGGAAATTTGTTTCTTTTCGCGAATAATCGAGCTATATTGTTCGATTACATGAAGGGGGTGGTGGTGAGAACTTACCCCGCCGTGCCTGGTGGCGATCCACGGAGTTACCCTAGTACAGGTTCTGCAGTTTTGCTTCCATTGAAGAATTTAGGAGGAGGACCTATTGATGCTGACGTGTTGGTGTGTGGTGGTGCACCAAAGGGAGCACATATTAATGCCCAAAATGGTAATTTTGTTAGGGCCCTCAATACGTGCGGAAGAATTCGTATAACCGACCCTAATCCCGTATGGGCAATGGAGACAATGCCTCTAGCTAGGGTCATGGGTGACATGGTATTACTTCCTAACGGTAATGTCTTGATCATCAATGGAGCATCTAAGGGTACAGCAGGATGGGAATTGGGTCGAGATCCGGTCCTGTCACCAGTTATTTATCGACCTGAGAATCCCACTGGGTCAAGATTCGAGGTTCAAAACCCGAGCACCAAACCTAGGATGTATCACTCCGCCGCAATTTTGCTTCGTGATGGTCGGGTACTCGTTGGTGGTAACAATCCTCATACTTATTACAATTTTACTGGAGTATCTTTTCCTACAGATTTAACATTGGAAGCATTTTCACCATCATATTTGAATCCCAACTCCACGAATATGCGTCCACAAATAGTTTCACCCATTTCATGGACCACAATTGAGTATCAACAATTACTCGTTGTTCAATTTACTATTTCGGGCATGCTAAATAAAGATTTGGTCGAAGTAACTATGGTTGCACCCTCATTTACAACACACTCATTTGCAATGAACCAACGGCTACTTGTGCTCTTCGGGAATGTGACAGTTGTGGGAAAATCCTCGTACCAAGTTGCGGTTATGACACCAGATTCAGTTAATCTTGCACTACGCGGATACTATCTCTTATTTGTGGTTCATCAAGATATTCCGAGTGAAGGTATTTGGGTCCAAATCAAGTAAATAATTCGACATACATTCTTGTGCAGATAGTATATATCTGAATCTTGTATTCTTCAACAGATTATGATTATTAGTTATTTTATTGAATAAAATTTATAAAACATAAATATTTTTTGAAGACATTGTCAATTATTTCATGAAGAAAAATGTTAGAAGTATACAAAAGTGTACATAAGGGTGTCCATTATATATACCCTTATGTACACCTTTATGTACTTGTAGCACATCTCTTTTATGAAAATGTAAGATGGGCACATGTGACGTGCATTAGTTTGTGTCATATACCTTCTGTAACAGCATTAATTCACTCGTGAGATCCAACATGGTATTAAACTCTCAAAAATATTTAAAAAGTAAACTGAAATTTATCCGATATAATAATTTAGTGTTGTCAATTATTGTTTGACAATTTCCAATATATTTCTTTAAAAATAAAGGAAAAATAACACTGTGAACAAAAGAAAAGTTCAGTGAAAAAATGAGGGAAATAGTGAATCATAATTGTTTACGGGATTATCGAAAAAATCAAAATAAAGACTATACAAAATTATTATGTTAAATTATTTGAAGATGGTTTTTAAAATAAAGAGCATTGTTGGAGATGCTTTATGTTACAGATATATTTACCATTCAACTGCTATTTCATTGGGATTTTCCATTGAGTCTACCCTAAATAATACTTATTTTTAAGATTTTTAAACGTAAGTTTCAATTTTTAAACAAATCCATCCATCATGGGTGGACCAACATGGGGTCATGTGGGGTCAAATGACCACATAAAAAAATTTGACTTTTTTTTTTTCCAAAAATTTTGTAGTTATTTTTTTTTCAAGGGCAAGTTTCTTGTTTACGCTCAATTTCGTTTTGTTAGTTTATCTAATTATCGTTTATTAGTGAAATGAATTATTGAGTTTTGGTTTTAGAAATTCTTCAAATATGAATTTAGTGGTGAAGAAATAGAGAGAAAAATGATTTCAAACATAGAAGAATCTTTACAACTTTTAAATTCTTTTTGAACATTTTGGAGATGTAAAAATCACGAGAAATTGTGGAGTTTTCATATCTAAGATCACAGTTTACATATTGGATCATTATAGTCTTTGGAGGTCCAATGTTAGATTTTGTTCTTCGTATATGATATTTGATTAAAATTAATTAGTGGGTTATTTTATCTTTTCTATACTATATATTTGGTTTTGTATGATTTTGAGGGTTGAACGTAATTGGGAAGATAGGGTGTCGTTGAAATTAGTATTTTAGATGGTGAATTTTTTGGAGTTCAAGATTTAGGCAATTTCGCAATTTAAAAAAATTTGGCATCTTAGGCATAATTGGATTTGTTCTTTGGCTAACATTGTGTTAAAAATTAGATGTTTAAATTAACGAATTATTGCTCCCATAATTTCAATTTCAGTTTCCCGCAAGACCTTTACTTTTATCCCTGACTTCAGACAAAGTATGAAAATGCATAAGCTACAATTATAGTAGTGTATTGACTTATTTTCATTAATATTATGTTGTTTAAAAATAAATTTGCATTTTAATTTTTGAGCCTACAGTACAAAAAGTCTGGATCCGTCCCAGTCATGCACTATATTGACTTGGGATTATCTACGTAATTTCACTTTCAATTTGGATATAATTGTGATTCAAAAAATGGATATAATCAAACGAGATGAGTAAGTAGGTTTTCGTGATCAACTTGTTGATAAGTGATCAACTTTATAGGTTGGTAAAATGCTTGCATGTTATTTTTTTATTGGCACTACTTCTTACACATTTTACTCACTAAACATCTTCGAAAATGTCATAATTGTACGTGTTTAATATGATTAAATAAACAATAATGACAGTAAAAAAATCTTGCACACGTCATAATTGCACGTCTTTTATACGATTAACTAAAAAATAATGACTTGGTAAAAGCCTTTCAATAAAACCATTTTTACAGAAATTGTTTTGCCAAAAAGCCACCGAAGTACTCACAATGCTGGGGCCACACCTTGTATTTAAAAAAAATACGTAAGCCCCACCGTGTGTGTGCTCTATTGGTCTTCTGTAGCTTCTTCTTCTGTACACGAAGCAAGATTGAAAACCTTTGTACATTGTCATCTCAGATGTTTTTAATTATCGTGTACCAAACATTCATACCCAACACAAATATTGTCTTTAAAATAGGTCTAATTCGATTTTAATGTCTATTGAAAGTAACAGTAGTTGCATTTTTAAGTGAGCACAAGTATAAAGTCATGATTGATTTGGAAAAATAAACAATTAACACTTGTCAATAATCAAGTTTCAATGTGCTAACAAGAAAGTTTGTCTGAATCCAACTATGGAAGGATTAACAACTCACTTGGGTTGATATCTTTAATAATAATAAATAAATAAATAATGAGCCAATCTTCTACTTTCATCTATAATATATTAAACATCACATCAAATAAGAATCGATTTTTGAAGGATTTTAACTTTACTACAATTCAATTATTTATAATACTCTACTTTTCATTTTTCAATATGTAATAAACATTATAAAATCATCGTCATGCATGAATTTCGTGTTATTAATTCACAATTAATTAGCATTCACATTAATTTGAACTCAATGAATTTTGATTTGATGAATCTTGATCTACATGGATTTAGAGTTATTATAAATGAATTTATTTCTATTAATGTATCTAAGAATTTTAATGGGTACTCATTTGTAGTATTTCATCATCACAAAAATTTGAATCATAAAAGTTGAGTTTTGAGAGTACAATTTTATTCTCTTAAATTTCTAGTTAGGACAACGTTTTTGACTTGTCTCTCTAAGGGTTGCTTTCTAAATCTCTTATATGTTTATGTTATTGTTGAATTATATTTTTTATATTAATTTAATTTGTTATGTTAATCGATAATCTATCTACACACAGGTCACCCGTTTTTTCCAACCATTATTAACAAAAATCTGTCTCAAAATATTTAGATATTAATTCAATATATTAGTTTTTGACCGTATTATACTCGCATGGCAAGTATCAAAAGTAGTGAATTACTTAGCTGGTTTTTAATTCATCTTAGCTGTCAAGATTCGGTCTGCAACACTAGTCATCAAGGAGATAGTTTAGTTTGTTAATACAGTTGTAAACTAATTTTCCCGCCATTTTCTTACTTTGGATTGTATTTATATGGCTGAACATTTTACATTCTTTGATTGAGTTAAATAAATATTTTTCCTCTCAACATTTTTCTTCCGTGTAATATGGTATCAGAGCGATTTACTTCTCACCTTCGCAATTAAGTTTTTTTTACTGATCGATCATGGCGAGTGATCCAATTCAAATCTCAGCTTCTTCGATGAGTAATTCCGCCGTTGAAGATGGCTCAAATCCCTATTTCTTCATCATTCTGATAATCCTAGTCTCATTCGTTTCACAGCAATTGACCGGTGAAAATTATACATCGTGGAGTCGCGCTATGTTCATAGCTTTATCAGTGAAGAATAAGGTAGGTATCATAGATGGATCCATTACTCGGCCTGAAGATAATGCTGAGCTTCTTAATTTCTGGATCCGTAATAACAACATAGTTATATCACGGATCCTTAATTCTGTTTCAAAAGAGATTTCAGCTAGCATTATTTACTCTGAATCTGCTTATGAAATTTGGACTAATCTTAAAGAACGATTTCAACAAAGGAATGGTCCTAGAATCTTTCAAGTGAGGCGTGAATTAATGAATCACACGCAAGGGCAAATGTCAGTTAGTGTTTCTTTCACTAAGCTGAAAACAATTTGGGAAGAGCTTAACAATTATAGGCCTTCGTGTTCATGTGAAAAATGTACCTGTGAAGGGAACAAAAAATTGATGGAACACTATCACATGGAGTACGTTATGTCTCTCTTAATGGGGCTTAACGAATCCTATTCTCAAGTCAGGGGCCAGATATTACTTATGGACCCTATTCTCCCAATCAACGAAGTTTTTTCTCTTATCTCTCAAGAGGAACATCAAAGGGGGATAAATTCAACTGCTGGAACCATTGATTCCTTAGCCTTCTATACTAAAAATGATGATAAAAAGCCAACCATGGGGCAGTTTTTTTAACAAGAATCAAAGGAGAGAGAGGCCAATTTGCACCCACTGTGGCTATGGAGTTCATAGAGTTGATAAATGTTATAAACTCCATGGCTATCCGCCGGGTTACAAAGCAAAACAAAGGATTGGTTCTAGTAATCAAACTGGCTATAAGCAAAATGCTATAACTAACCAAATTTCTGACTCAATTTCAGGCCAAGCTGCTGGTAATGTTGGGAATTTGTACAAACTTTGAACCCTGATCAGTACAAACATTTGATGAACATGCTAAGCACACATCTAGCTACTGCAAAGGTAAGAGATGAGAATGCCAAGTCAGACCATGTATCAGGTACATGCTTGTCTATTTCGAATAATAAGATATTCAATTCTACTGGACATTAGGTTATAGATTCTAGGCAACCAGTCATATTTGTTTCAATCGTGCCTCCTTCAAAACACTAAGGGAGGTACAAAATGCCTACATCACATTACTTAATCATATAAGGATACCAGTACATTTTATTGGAAATGTTGAGTTCACTCCTGAACCGATTCTTCAAAATGTATTATTTGTTCCCCAGTTCAAGTTTAATCTCCTATCGATTAGCTCCTTGACCAAGGATTCAAATATAAGTGTCAGATTTTTCACTGATTATTGTGCAACTCAAGATCTGTGTAGTTGGAAGATGATTGGCAAGGCTGATAGGATTGATAGCCTTTACATCATTGATGCATGATCTGATGTAATGAAGAATGATTGTAATTCCTTTAAATTTGTTGACAATCATATATGTTCTGTAATAAATAAGATGACCTCGCATGTTTGGCACCATAGATTGGGACATTTATCTTTTAAAAGATTGGAGATTTTGAAAGATCAGTTACATTTCAAAAGTGAGAGAAATTGTGTTAATCCTTGTTACAGCTGCCCC